ACTTTGTTCATGAATGTTTCCTGTTTGTTGTTGTTGTTGTTTAGAGGTTTTTGCTACAGGGCACGTGCACTCACCAGACAGACAGAGAGAGACAGAGAGACAGAAAGCGAGAAATTACCCCCCAGGGGGAAGGGCCGTGCCGCAGTCCCTTCTCCTCCATTCTCCTCTTGGGATCTTGGGCACGCACATGAGCCCGGTGTGAGTTTTAAGCCACCGGGTCCGGGATGCGAACCGCGGTAGACTAAGTGGAAGTCCAGTGACATAGCCATTACACTAACTGCTGGTCCCAAAACCGGGCCCTTTTCTTCCAAGGAGGCTGAGGTGTCTGTCTCACTGGTACTGCCACCATCTCCGTTCCCAGGTGTTTTCTGTTTCTTTTTTGTTTTCACTTCAACATTTTCCTGGCGCAGCCCCTCTCATCTTGCCCTCTGAATGCTACTCCCGATTGGCTCTCTTAAGTTCTCGCTGTTTCTGCAGATTGATGGCCACATATTTGAGTATTCTGCTCTCTGGCACCCAGTCATCCTAATTTTTATTCCAACCACTGTAATGTATAAAATATTTCACTCGTTTATCCCTTATGGCAACTTTCACACACATTGCTTCATAAAGATGAGGTCCATGAAAGCACAGCACTCTCACCCTGCCAAAATTTAGGCTTCGGATCCTGCTTCAGCGCCGCCGTTTATAAGTGATTCGCCACCTCCTCCTTCTCCCACCACCCCCTCCCCGCTACTGCTCCCTACTCTCTACCCCAACCCATATTTATTTATTTATATACATATGTTGAATATACAGAGAGAAAAGTCTAGAAAGAAATTCACCAAACTATATTTAGAGATTATATCTCTGGCCTAAGGGTTCCAGGGAGACATTACTTTTCTATACTTTTCAGTGTTGCTTGAGCGCTTTATTATGACCTTATTTATATAATAATTTAACAAACAACAAATTTGTATTCTGGTGGAATACATTCACCAGAAGTTTTTAAGCACCAAGTGGGTAGATTTGGAAATTATTCTGGCATCCTCTCCAAATGTCAGGCGCCTCAGCCCCATTACTGGGCTGAAGAGCATGGGCAGAGCATGCCAAGTCCAGCCACCTCATCACGGATAGCCTGAGGATATTAAATGTCCCCACCTGTGCCCCTAGCCTCGGACCTCAGACCCCTGGTTGAGTCCCATTCTACTACTTCACTCCTACTAGTCACATTTCATGAACCCTGCATCTGCCATTCCCCACCTCATCTTAGACACATCTTAGGCCCAGGTTGCTGCTATGCATGGTGCCTCTGGCTCTCTTGTTATTCTCCATTCTGCACCCTGAAGTTGTGAGAAGGCCCCTATTGGGTCTCAATTCCTCTGCGAAGAGAATCAAATTTTCCATCTTCCTTTGTCAATTCAAGTCATAACCTAGCAGCCCTCCCTAAACCCTCTCCTTCTGCCTCACAACTTGTCCCACACCCCACCAGCTTCCCTCCTAGCCCAGTACCCACCACACTGTCAGAAAGTGCTTAAGCTAGCCCCCTAAGACTGGACATCCTCACTCCAGCTGGGAACATTCCCTCCAAATCACTGCAAGGCTGAAGTGAGCAACCACACCACACAAATGACCCAAGGTGACTCAATAGGCTGAGATCAAGGCTAGGACTTTGAAAAAATATTGGCACAGAGGCATTCCTCTATCCAAAACCAGCTCCCTATCTGTCTCCTCTTTCCACAATTCAATGATAAACAAGGAGGTAATATACAACTACAAGTCCTTTAAATAGAGTTACTTTGAACCTGGTGAGCTTTACTTTGTGCTCATTTCTACTGAGCTTGGTTATCTGAATTCTAACTCCATGATGTTTTAGAAAAAGCACACTAGAAAAGAGGAGAGCAATAGCTGTAAGGTAGGCAATTAAGCATTATCATATAGCCCCGTAGTGCAGTGGTTAAGTGCTGTGTATAGAAAGCCAGATCCCATATGGGCAACCACAGTTCAAATCCCACCTCGGGGGCTTAGAAGACTTGCTGGGCATGTGTGTGTGCACACACATGCATGCACCCAAAATCCTGAAAGGATGGAAGAGTGGAGGAACAGGATTTTATTAATAGCATGCCCAGGGCCAATGAGGCCATGTTATTAATGTGTGAGCTCCTCTGGCAATCAAATATATATATATACACACACACACACATATATATATATGAATGAAAAATAAGTGATAGCCTGATCATGACACAGAGAGAGGAAGCAAAGAGTACTACATATTTAATATCACACAGCACAATAACTCACATTTATAAACCCTAAGTCACACACATGCAAACCTGGATGACCCTCAGCATGCTGCCTGAGGATACCTAGTGAACTCCCAGACCTCTAAAGGCTTCCCACCTTGCCCAAAGTTAAGAGCTCCTCCTTACGCTACATTCACAAGAAGCTTCCACGCAATCACACTACACAAGCAGCATATTTAGTTCTCATCACTTTATCATTTTTATGGCATTTCTCAGAAAGTGATCCACCTGGGCTGGCCTTGTGGCCTAGTGGTTAAGGGAGCGGACCCCAAATATGATTCAAATCCTGGCCCCAGAGACTTGGAAAAATGCCAGGTGCATGTGCACGTGTGCCCCCAAATCCCAACTGAAACATGGAAAAATGGAAGAGAAGGGACTGCAGTGTGACCATACCCCTCATTGGGAGCTGCATTTTTCCCTCTCTCTGGGTCTCTCTCTGGTGAGTATATGCGCCCTCAGCAAGTTTTTTTGTGTGTTGGTTTTGTTTTGTTTTGTTTTGTTTTAATAATAATAGGGGCCGGCAGGTAGTGTGGTGGTTATGGGTGCTGGACTCCCACATGGCTGACCATGATTCAAGTCCCAGACCTGGTGGCTTGCTTTCTCACCTTCTCTCTCTTTCTCTTTCTCTCTCTCCCCCGCCCCCACCTTTCTGGTCAAATTAAAATAAATGAATAAAGTTAAATCAATTATTTCAAAAACATATTAAAATGTATTTTAATCTCTGATATATTTATATACTAAATAAACTTAAAATGCAACTAGTGTTTTGCTGCAAAAGTGCTTATTTCTAGAACTAGCTAATAAGCAGGAAGGAGGCAGTAGGAGAGGGGGACCAACTAGCTGTTAATGGCTTAAATTTTCTGATTAACTTCACCTTCTCTTTCTATAAACCACATCTAATAATACCTGCCTAAAGTGCTTCAAAAGATTACCAAGATATAAGATGGCTATGAGAAAATTCTATCAAGTCAGGTGTTCAGCTGTAATTATTCCCTTCATCTAAATTGGCTCACGGATTAAAATTAGAGAAGGAAGGAAAACTACAAGTATGTATCACTCAAAGGTAAAAGATAAGGCAGAACTCAGAGACAATTAACTTGGAATTGGGCACAGCTCTGAGAGAACTTCGTATTAGCAGGGGAACAGCGACACCTACCGCACTTAACTATATTGCAGTTGACCTGGAAAACCAAAGGCTTCAAATTTTAGTACAATTTTAGCCAGGCTTGAAATAATCAGGCTTGAAATCCCTGAATATTAATTTCACAAAAATTAATATTTAAAACAGCCATATAGCATTTTTCCTGGAAAAATGGAATTTTATTTCATTTAGAAATAACTTATTTTCATATTCAAATGTAGTGCGTATTAATTGTAGAAACGTAAAGAGTTAACATCATTGTTGACACTTAGTTTAGAGCCACTACTATCACCATTATCTTTCTCTTCATCCTTCCCCTTCTATTTCCCTTTCTTCTCCTCCTTCCTTCCCCTTTTCCCTCTCCTTAGACTTGGGCTTATGCTGGGTGGTGTGCCGAGGGTTTAAGGAAGCAAAGCTTTACTCAGATTGGATATTGTCAGGAAGCAGGGTATTTCTATGGCTGGGTAGCTTATAAATTTCATCCTTTTTGCTTTCGCACAAAGCAAACACTAATGACAAGAAGCAGCAGTCGCTCATATTAGACAGACCAGGTGAATACTTGTTTATTTTGTGGAATGGACAAGGTTCCTATTTTGTCTGAGTTTGGGCATGATTAAGGAGTGGTGTCATTTCTGAGTATCTTTCCAGCTCTTCATCCAGTGTGGTCACTCTGACAGCATCAGGCCCCTAGTCACAAGCTGAGAATCACAGTTTACAGACAACAGATCAGAGCCAAAAGCAGAGGGGAATTTCAGTGAAGGCCTCGAGGTAGCCATCTCAGAAGTCTGGGGGCAGACACAAGCCCCCACCCTATAGCTGCTGTAATGCACAAAAACTGGGCAGGTCCCTGCCTACCAGAATCCTAACAATTCTTCCTACAGGAACTCAGAGGGGGAAATCTTGGTCTGCCCCAACCCTGAACCTTCTCCACCACCACTGTCCACAGAAGCTTTTCCTTCCACACCCCTGCAGCCCAAAGATGACGCAACCAGCTACTCACACTATTGTTTTGGGGGTGATTTCACATTCCTGGGCTATCACTCACTCTTGGGGCTTAAACTTTCCAAGATGTGACACCCTCCCTTCAACCTATTCCCATCCTTCTTCATCTTTTCTGTATTCTTCATCTCTGTCTTCCAGCCACTGTCTGAGGTCCATGGTCTCCAAATCCCCTGTGATCCAGTCCCTCCCTCCTTGAGAAACTCTACCTCCTTCCCCACAGACTCCAGCCTCCTCCGACATCTTCCCATCTCCCTTCCTCCTCCAAAATGGAACTAATCCATAACCTCAAGCAAATAGGGTTGAAGTGAGAATAAACCAAAGGACCTGGAGCCTTCCTCCATTCCTATATAATGAAACCAGAAAGTCACAAAGGTCCAACACATCTGAGGATCATAAAAGCCATAGATCTTCCAAAACGTTGGCAGCTAAGATCTGGCCAGAGATGACCAGACATCTGTGAGGCAGTGGCTTTCCTAAAAACTGCTGAATGGGGTTTAAAGTGATTGCATATGTCATGGTTATCATAGGGTGAAGTTATATGATTATAAGTTAATTTTTACAATAACAACATCTACTGATATAGACAGTGCTTTATTGTTTACACATCTCATTTAATCCTTGCAGCAACCCTGAGGTAGGTATTATTATCCCCACTTTACAAGTAGTAAACAAACACCCCTAGGTTAGATTATTTACTGAAGATCACACGCTTCCTAGTGGCAAAGCCACTGATAATTACAAACCCAAGGGGACTCTTTTTGAGTAGTTGCCAGGCTGCTGCCAAGGAAATAGAGCAGAAAACTCCAGCTGGGAAGAGCTAAATCATTCACTGGAGCTTCAGAGGGTCCCTCACCAGGGATGAATGAGGCACATTCACAGGCCAAGACCAGGACTGAGCAGGAGAAGCCTAGAGCACATGAGAGTTTGAAGCAGGAAGAGGTCTTGACGTTCAGTGAGAGTTGACGGTGTCTTCAAACACACACAGGGACCAGCTTCCAAGATTGCACAAACAGGAGGGCTTCTGGCAGCTACAAATCCAGGGACTGACCACAGGACAGGCAAGGTGTGGCCAAGAAGAGCTGCCACAGAGTGACGCCATCTTGGCTTGGCCCAAGAGCAGTGACCTCAGGGCAGTGGTCCTTTAATTCTGTTAAGGCCTTGGGAATCTGATGAAAGCCATACAACCTCCCCACAGAAAAATACAGACGCACGTGTACAGACAATATTTTGCATACAATTTCAGGAGTCCATGGACCCCAATGGAGGTGTCACCCTGAGAAAAGTCACTGATACAAACCTATCTCTACACTACTTGTGTTTCCTGTGACTGTTCCCCCTTTGTCATCCCTAATATTTAGAATGTTGTGAAGTTAATTTTCAATGGGAGCCAAGGAAAGGGAGTTCAGCCTACACTCCAGCCAAAGGAAAAGCGGCTGTGGCACGGCAGTGGTGGCAGCCAGAAAGCAAAGAGAGAGAAGGATGGGTCACGCAGTGTCCCACTGCCCTTCCCACACCAGAAGGTCACTTTGGGAGCTTTTTTCTGTACTTAAATTTAGATAAAGGTTGTGGGGCAATGGGGAGGGGGCAGTGTTCTGTTCTCTTTTAGAAAGTACAGCCATTCTCATTGGCTACAGGGTCCACAGTTCTATAGACATTGCCCTCATTCCGACTTTCCCTGCTCCTCACTACAAATACACATAAATACCGGCCCAGTCATCCATGCATATGTGGCCAGGTCTCCTACAAACACTCATGTATTTACACATGTCCTTTCATGGAAGAAGGAATCAGTGGGATGGGGGGGCAATCTCAGGACAAAGGTTCCACGTTGCAACGTGGGGATCATGCACTCCCCACAGAGGATCAGATAAACTGGGAGAATCAGCAAAACCACCCCAAGGATTTGGTGCACACCAGCCCTGGGCCACCTCCATGATTCTTCCTTCTGGCCAGGGCCAAACCAGAAAGCAAAGCCTGGTGCCCCATCCCCCAAATCAATGGGCCCAATAGAGGAGCCAGAGTCGAAGGGTCAGGGGCTCAGAGGTGGAGGGAGGTCTGGATTCGGTGCAGAAAGCAGTTCTGATCTCTTAGAATCAGGAATCAGGCAAAATCCTGGCTCCAAGCCCATCCAGGCCTGGAGAGGACAAACACGAAAAGTCCAAGTGATCATTCAGACCCAAAGAGAACTGAGAAACCATGACGGTCTTCCAGGCTCAGTCACCCTGGCATCTCAGTGGCCATCCCATCCCAGGGGTCCTCACACGACTGGTCATTTGCTGGCTCTAGATAGATGTTTCATCACACGTGGCTAGAGGAGCCCCAGTTAGCCGAATGTGGGCTGGGCTCGGGCAAGGATCAAGCAGGAAGGGTGGGGGGAAGCCACCAAAGCCACTGCCCCTCTTGGACAGGGCCAGGGGTAGCCGCTCATCTTCAGGAGATGGGGAGGGAGGATCTTGGCTGTAGCTTGTGGTCCCAGATGGTGGGGCCCCCAGGTCCAGGCCCACCTTGTCTCTAGCCAGAAGTTCCCTCTGTCGCCGTCGCTGCTGACGCCGACCAATCAGGAGAAGAGTCAGGGATGCTGTAAGAACCCCCAGGAAGAAGCCAGCCAGTCCAGCCCCTACTGTGTGAGCCTGGCTTGTGGGACCCCGGTGACTGCCCAACACCAAGCTGTAAGCTGCCACCACGCGGGCTGCCCCACCCTCCTGACATTCACAGGCGTAAGCACCCATGGTCCCTGGGGTCACCACCACCTCCAGCCCATCCCTCCGTGGGGTTAGTGCAGTCACTCCACCAGGCTGATGCCACACACAGGATGCCCATGCTGAGCTTGGGGAACATGGCAAGACCACATGAGCAGCTGTAGCCACAGGAACTTCAAACACTATTGGGTGTTCTGCAGAGAGACAGCAAAGATACAACAGATAGTGAGGCTGTAGGTTGGGGATGTGATGGAGAGAAATGTGGGCTGGGGTGCTATCAGACATGAGATGGGATCATGGAGACAAGGCTAAAAAGAGGATTCCCACAGACGGTAAGGCCCCCGCTCACTGGCTACCATATCTTACAGGACCCAAGTTTTAAAGTGGGTCCAAAACTTTCCAGTCTCTTTCCATCCATTCCACCCACATTGCCTTCCACCATACAGACCTCCGGGCTCTTTGGGACACAAAGAAGAGACATCCGCTGATTCTATGTCTTGGACCAGCCTATAAAGAAGAGAATACTTGGTAAATCCAGTGTTAATAATCCCATCTACCCTTCTCAGTTATCACTGAACATTCATTCACTCATTACATCTCCCATCAGCTTGTAAATCCCTCCTGGGATTATCAGTCAACAGAATCCTCGTGCCTAAACCACCTACATGGGAGGATCTTCAAAAGGTTCGTGGAGGGGGCCAGGTGTTGGCAAAGATGTAACACAACTGGACCCACATGGGAAAGGCCTTGGGTTCACCTCACAGGGCCTCTCTGAGCACATAAGTTGTGCACACAGGTGCCCATGATCCAGGATGGCCGAGATTAGGGGTAAACTGCAGTGTGAAGACTGTGTGGGGTGCCTGTCTCTCTGTCTCTTGCTCACTCTCATGGAAGAACAGAAATAAACTTTACTCAAAATTCTTGGAGAATACATTTTATTATGAAAAGCCTATGTATAGATTTCAAAATATTTTATACCAAAATAAACTCATATTTCCATTCCATTTTCCATGAACTCTGTGAAGTCCCCTCATACTCTTCATGACATTTGCTATGTCAAGATCTACACATATTGGGACCAGCAGTTAGCGTAATGGCTATGTCGCTGGACTCCCACATAGTCAACCGCGGTTCAAGTTCCAGACCCGGTGGCTTAAACTCACATTGGGCGCGTGTGTGTACATGCCCAAGATCCCGAGAAGAGAAGAGAGGAGAAGGGATTGCAGCGTGGCCATCCCCCCTGGGGGGTGATTTCTCGCTTTCTGTCTCTCTGTCTCTCTCTGTCTGTCTGGCGAGCGTACACGCCCTATAGCAAAAACCTCTCCAAAAAGAAAAAAAAAGATCTACACATATTTCTAGTAGAGCAAGGAGAGCTACACTTGCACTAGGTCTGTTGAAAATGTTTGGTGAGGGTGTTTTAAAAGAAACAAAGGAAGCTTCCTGGTTGTCCACAATGACAAGATTTAGCGGGGAAAAAATGTAAAAACTAAAGCTTCCTTTTCTGTGAAAGCTTAACAAAATTCCATGAGATGACTATCTGTTTCATAAAAACTGCTCCTCTCTATAGAGGAACTCTTTTCAACAGCTGTTGGTACATACTGGCCTCTAATGGATGTTTCAAACAACATAATACTGTGCTTCCAGGATCTGGGTGGGCTGTGTCTAACAGACGGATAGCAGGATGGACTGC